TAGAGACAAGACAATTATCATGTATCTTGAGCTAGATCGTTGCATATATTTTTATAATAAATTTATTAGAGATATAAATATTGTTAATATTTTTTATAAATCTAATTAAATCAACATGAATAATATAACGATACTTTGAAAGGATAGAGCAATACTAGTTCGTAAGTCAGTTTATAGAAGCCATGACCAAACAAGGGCGAAAGCCTGAAACTGTGGTAATTTTTTTTTACACTCCATAATAAAACGACCAGCTCCTGTAGCCTCTAGGCAGACCTAGGTTCTAGCTACTCCTAGCCGGCTAGCCGCCGTGACTTGACATTATATCTTGTGGTGTTGCCTGTGCGTAACGAGGCAATTAGGTCCACTGATATGTCTGGGTTGTGGTCGGTCGTTTAACCCTAGCCTTGTCCCCGCATCGCCGCCTACGCGATAGACCAACGACCGCGATGCGCAGCGGGCCCACACCGGAGACATGTTTGCGTAGGACTTGTCGTTTCCCCTTCTTCTGTGTCTGTCGATATACACTACGGCTACGACTACCGTCTACCCACCGGGACTCCGGGAGGGGAGTACAGGAGACGGGACTTGCCTCTCGCCCCGACTCTCCACTCCTCGAGCGGGCCGAACCCCAGGTGGGCTCGAGCTGCTTGCTCTATGGGATTTTTCATCAGTCGTCACACTCTTTAAAATTCTTTTTTCTCTCTTCCACATCAATTTTAGCCACGTGTATCAAAAAATAACAGTCATCACACTTTTGAGCTTAGTTGGTCCAGATTAGCTCTGGCTGGTTTTTTGCAATCTACTGGGGCCTCGGATTGTTTACTGGGGCCTGGGATCAAATCAAATCCCCGACATGCCGAGCCCGAGAAGCCCTAGAAGAAGCTGGGTACGTCCAACTCCCAACCACGCATGCCTCGATCTGTCGCGCATCTCTTCATAGAATCTACCGTAGTACGTGATGCTGTATAGTACTAGTACAATCGCGTATACCTGCAAGAAAAACGTGTTTCATCAAGAATAGGTAATTTTGGGAACTTCAATTGCAAATGTGTAATACCAAGAGCTCAACAGCCTGTTCGTTTGAGCTGAATTGGCTTATAAGCCATAGCTGAAAATACTAATGGTTGATTTAGTGTGAGAGAAAAACTATTGTTCAAATCGTGGATTATAAATCAGATATGACCGAATAAGCCGAAACGAACAGGCTTGGTACAGGACTAGGACCTAGGAGGAGGCATCTAAACGCTGCTTTCTCGTCTAGGATAAACGGCCGTGGACCTTCTATTCTGTGTAGGCATCTAGTGCTAGCTTTTAATTAAGGCTTTGTTTATTTGGTGAAATTTTTTGGGAAAATGTACTGTAGCATTTTCGTTGTTATTTAGCAATTAGTGTCAAATCATAGTTTAATTAGACTTAAAAATTCGTCTCGTGAATTTCGTCTAAACTGTGTAATTACTTTTATTTTTTATTTATATTTAATGCTTCATGCATGCGTTAAAGATTCGATGTGACGGGAAATCTTCTAAAATTTTGCAAAATTTTGAAAACTAAGTCACTAAACTGAGAAAAGAACCCGTGCAAGAATCAAATGGATGGCCTCGACTCTCGACCGAAGTCAGAGGCCGTCCGTGTTCCGCCAGACCTGCCTGCCATTACCAAACCAAAAGGAATCGCGGTACTAGCATGCAAGTAAGCTTACATGCAAGGAGATGAAAATCGTAGTACGGTGCCCTTGTTTGGGGCCGTTTGGTATGTCTGAGATGAAAATCGTAGTACGGTGCCCTTGTTTAGGGCCGTTTGGTATGTTTGGGGCTCTTGGTAGGGCTCTGGCTCTGGCTGACACCATAACATGAAACACTGTAGGAAATACTGTAGCCCAGGAGTTGTTTTTCTCTCTCCATCTTTTTCCTCAGCGCGGTTACTGTTCACGGAGCCGGTGGAGCTCGAATTCCTGGCTCCGCCAGCTCTGGTTCTAGCACGCTACAGGCATACACAGTGTAGAAGCCGGATCTCCTCGGAGCCGTACCAAATGAGCCCTAAGGTACATGCATAAAGTATTATATGTAGATAAAATTAAAAATTAATTACACAGTTTGCTTTAACTTTGCGAAACGAATCTTTTGAGTCTAATTAGTCAATGTTTAGACAATAATTCACAAATACAAATGAAATGCTACATCGAAGAATCGTGCACTATGTACCGAACTAAACGCGCCCTATATATCATTTTATTTTGATGGGAGAGACGTCTTTATTACCAAGTTGAGTGCATAGTTAAATCCTGGCCATTTCAGCAGAGCATACTTAGGTCTTTAGGATCCGTACTCCGTAGCTCCTACTTGTTTGCCATTACTAGGCGGCAAACTCCAAATTCGATGGTTCCTCAATCTTGTGGAAATGCAATGCATACGGACCCTGGAAGAGGCCGCAAAATCCAAACACCAACAGACTTTCAGAGACAATGATGGCCTCATTTCCTAATGCTGATTAGCCTACTCTACGGCCTCACTTCAAGTGACGCTGGGTAGACGAACACCAGCGCAGGGTCCAACTCTTCGATTTTGTAGTACCAGTAGTATATTACTTTGCCGCATCAGTCCATATTGCAAGATGCTTCTGCAGGCTGAGCTGTTAGCCTCATGACAGTCTAACAAGAGGGCCCACCAATCAGTTAGGGAAAATGTATTGTTTAGAGTCGACACAGACAGGAACAGAAAAGAAAATTAAGTCCTGAATAGGCTTGCAATCATAATCTGTTCATACTTATTAGTCATCATTTGTTTGGACACGAACGTTTTTGGCTGGCTGCGACGAACAAGACACGAAGTACATCACGATCCAGACAGATGGTAACAAATAACTAAATTAAAGGACAGTTGGTAGGCGTCCATTTCGGTTTCGGCACGCCTACATAACATAGCTGCTCGTGAAGGGGTGCTAGTGGAATGAGAGCGAGGCCGAGGCTGTGCTCGGATTAAGTACACGAACGTTGACATCACAATCAAAATAACAAGACTATGGAATCGTCTGCCTGTGAAAAGGTCGCACAAGGTGGCCTACCGTCATTTGATTTCTGAATGCAGACTTGTCTCCTTTTGTGCATGTATGGCCCAACAGATCACGGGTTCCGCGTTCCGTTTTTTGCCTACTTGGCTTGGAATTGGGCAAACGGATAAATAACAGCTGCTGCTAGTCTCTTTCCTCCAAAAAAAAAAAAACATAAGCAAAAGTTAAGCCTTTTTTTTTACTGAAAGTGACAGAACAGAAAAAAAAGATGTACTCTACAGTCCTGTTCACAGATTCAAATTTCACTGCATTTGAGCTTATTACCGAAACAGGACAATATCTAAAGGTTAGGCTATCACGCCTCACAACTATTGAGCTCATTTCACCACCACTCTAGTTCAACTTGATTAACTAACTTTTCAGTTTCAGCTAGACAAACTGAAGAATTAGTTAATTAAGTTGTAAATTGGATTCATGAATAAATCCATGGCCATTCTTAGAAAAAGGGTTTACAAAAGAAGAAAAGGCACAGATTTTGAGAAGAAATGCAGCTTAAAAGATAATGAATCACGCATCCCGCAGCAATATCTTAAAGCAGAGCTTAACAGTAAGCCCACCGGTTGCCTTTGTGAAAGAACCCTAAACGACAAGAGAAACACTCATGGCAAACTCCAATTGGGCTTTGCTTGTGGTTCAGGATCTCTAGAAGGCCCTAATAGACAAACGATGGGCCTAGCATGGGCCTGCCAAATTCCGGTTCGTACAAAGCAGCCACACTCAGACTACAGACGTGAACCCCATGTTTAAGATCCTACGCCGCACTTCCATTTTCTTTCTTCGGAACATGGTCTCAAATTTTTGTAAGGAAGGCTTTGACTAAACGATTGGATGCTCCATATCAGCTAAAGTTATTGGTGCCCACTAATCAGCTGGTCAAACAAAGATACATTAGCAGAGAAATGGAGAGCCACTTACGTGATCTACAGTGCAGCTGTCCGATAGGAAAACCAGACATAGTGGACCAAGTGCCCCCCCTCTACTTCAGCACCTACAAGGAAAATCAGGATGCCAAATACTCTTTGTTAGACTAAAAATAACAATATGATCTTGTACAGGCAGATGGGCAATAACCTGGATTGCACGTTTTGCTGGAACAAGACATGTCTGCATGATAAGAAAATGAAAGCTGGTAGTATTATTCAAGGCGTCGCACAGGATGACAGGAAGCTTAAGTACGTGATTCCTGGACAGACAGACTACAGAAGGTTCTGAGATCAAACCAAATCCATGGAAGGGAAAAGATATACAAACATGATAACCGAGATAGTTATGTTGATTACAGCAATAAATGGGGCACTGGAATCTAAGATAACAATGGTCATCCCTCATAACCGTGTTTGATAAACTAACCTCCTTTTCAAACTGTCAGTTTGGGTTACAATTACTTAAGCCATTAGCTGGGTAAACAGCAAAGAACCAACTGGTAATTAGATTGATTAGTTCCTCCATTAATATCATACAACAAACCATCGCAAGAAAAGAGCTCTCAGATTCCAAATCTCAACCAACTGGAATAAACCAATATGATACAGATATTCTTTTTTTATGAAAATGATAGCGAGTGCAACACCTAGATAGCCATGCTTAAATTATTCCAGCCTGACTATTGTACTCCAGCTATTGGCCTACAAGCTCCCTTCATTCGACGTCCACATGTCAGTAGTACAGGAGCTCGGAAAAGAATATTTGACGATAATGGCCAGTTAATAATTAGACATGATATCTAAGTTGCAACCTGATCTCATCTGGACGTGCACTCAACCAATACCTTATATCTCTGTAATCAATCCATTCCCTCCAAAAGCGAACCACAGACATCATCCATCCCTGCACCCTTTCCCTCTCTTCAAACCCTGAGACCACTTTCCTCCCCATGAGAAACCACCAATAAGTTTTGCTACATACTGGTGCTTCTGATGCCAACATCAACAAAGATGGCCAGAAGCATGCTTGAGTGGACGAGAGTACCAATGTTTATCATCCTCTCCATCCTTGGTATCACTAGTGTAACCAGCACCAATGCAATTGCATCACAAAAGAGCCCGTTTGTACCTCAAGACAACTACCTCATTAGCTGCGGGGCATCTGGTTCTGTGCAGCTTGATGATGGCAGGACATTCCGCTCTGATCCAGAGTCGGTATCTTTTCTGTCCACCCCAATGGACATCAAGATCACAGCTAACAATTCTCCAACTGCTGCTTCACCATTATCCCCACTGTACCTGTCTGCAAGAGTTTTCTCTGATGTTTCAACTTATAGCTTCTTTGTCTCGCAGCCTGGCCGCCATTGGATCCGTCTCTACTTCTTACCTATCCCTGACAAAAAATACAACCTCACCTCAGCAACATTCTCTGTGTTCACTGACAATATGGTTCTTCTCCATGACTTCTCCTTCATAGCCAGTCCCCCTAACCCCATCCTTAAGGAGTATATTGTTGTAACACAGGGAGACACCTTGAAGATCATTTTCACCCCAAAGGACTCAATAGCATTCATCAATGCTATTGAAGTTGTCTCAGCTCCACCCACCCTAATCCCAAATACCACCAATGGCCTGCCTCCTCAAGAACAATTTGACATCTCCAACAATGCATTGCAGGTAGTGTACCGGCTAAACATGGGGGGTGCACTTGTGACAGCCTCAACGACACACTGGGCAGGACCTGGTTACCAGATGCACCTTTTTTGAAGCTTGAGGCAGCAGCACAGGCGGCTTGGGTTCCTCCTAGAACCATCAAGTACCCTGATGACAAGGCAGTCACACCACTCATTGCTCCAGCAAACATATACTCAACGGCACAGCAGGCAGCATCGACAAATACCTCGCAAGCAAGATTCAACATAACTTGGGAAATGGAAGCAGAGCCAGGATTCAAGTACCTCATCCGCCTACATTTCTGTGATATTATAAGCAAGGCACTCAATAGCCTCTACTTCAATGTCTACATAAATGGCATGATGGGTGTATCCAACCTTGATCTCTCAAGCTTGACAATGGGCCTTGCAGTAGCCTACTACCAGGACTTTACCGTGGATTCATCCAGCATCATCAACTCCACTCTTCTAGTGCAGGTTGGCCCAAGCACAACCGATTCCAGCAATACTGATGCCATCCTTAATGGCCTTGAAGTCATGAAAATAAGCAACCAAGCAAAAAGCTTAGATGGCCAATTTTCACCAAAAACAAGCTCACAACTTGGTAAGAGGATACTAACTGGCATAGGTCTTTCTGTGGCAGTGATTGCAGCTGCATTGGCCATAGTGATGTGCTGCAGGCGAAACCGAAGGCCAGAGTGGCAGAAGACAGACAGCTTCCATTCGTGGTTCCTTCGGCTCAACTCCAACCAGTCCAGCTTCATGAGCAGCTGCAGCAGGCTCTCCAGAAATCGCTTTGGCTCCACAAGGACCAAAAGTGGTTTTTCTAGCCTGTTTGCATCTAGTGCTTATGGACTGGGCCGCTATTTCACCTTCACTGAAATTCAGAAAGCCACAAAAAACTTTGAAGAAAAGGATGTCATTGGTGTCGGTGGCTTTGGGAAGGTTTATCTTGGTGTTCTTGAGGATGGTACAAAGCTAGCTATCAAGAGAGGCAATCCATCTTCTGATCAAGGTATGAACGAATTCTTGACTGAAATCCAAATGTTGTCAAAGCTTCGTCACCGCCACCTGGTTTCACTCATCGGTTGCTGTGATGAGAATAATGAGATGATCCTGGTTTATGAGTTCATGTCAAACGGTCCACTCAGGGATCATCTATATGGTGGTACAAATCTGAAGCCTCTATCTTGGAAGCAACGCTTAGAAATTAGCATTGGGGCAGCAAAAGGCCTGCATTATCTTCATACAGGTGCAGCTCAGGGTATAATTCACCGCGATGTCAAGACTACCAACATTCTCCTTGATGAAAATTTTGTGGCCAAGGTTGCTGATTTTGGCCTATCAAAAGCTGCTCCATCCCTTGAGCAAACCCATGTCAGCACTGCTGTCAAAGGAAGTTTTGGCTACCTTGATCCAGAGTACTTCAGACGTCAACAACTAACAGAGAAATCAGATGTATACTCGTTCGGGGTGGTACTCTTTGAGGTACTGTGTGCAAGGCCAGCCATCAATCCAGCACTTCCAAGAGACCAGGTGAACCTCGCAGAATGGGCCCTTACATGGTACCGCAAGGGAGAGCTCAACAAAATAATTGATCCTCACATTGCAGGTCAAATCAGGCCTGATTCACTTGAGATGTTTGCTGAGGCTGCTGAAAAATGTCTTGCTGACTATGGAGTTGACCGTCCATCAATGGGAGATGTTTTGTGGAAACTTGAATTTGCCTTGCAACTTCAAGAAAAGGGTGATGTTGTTGATGGAACCAGCAACAGGATACCAATGAAGCGCTTCAACGACTCAGTGTATGATGACATGGAGAAATCTAGCAGTGCAGGGCCACCTGTTCAAGGAAGATAACAATATGACCACATCACCAAGATTTGCAACTGTAGTAATCCAGTATAACAGTATTACATTTTTGTTGTCCAGTCAAGGAAAATGATAGGAGCTCCAGATATAAAGATGCACATTATTTTGTTTCTACTTTGAAGATCTAGTTATTCTTTTGTATGATTGAGGCTATATTCTATGAACTAGAGAGCATTCTCAAACTATTTGTAAACTAAACTGTAGCGTCAAATTCTTAATTTTAATTATTTGACTCTTGGAGGTAAATGAATTGCTTGCTCTACTGAACTTAATTCTAGTTCCAAATATTTGAAGTGTAGAAACTAGAAAGTGATAGCAAGTAATAGTGAAACACAATTGTTAGGATAATTGTGAAACAGGTACTATGGAATTGTATATATGTTATACTGTTATACGAATATGCTGTGTAACTAACCGACAATAGAACAAGGCACATCAGTCGTAAACCTATGCATTAAATCATCACTTCTTATCACATATATTCTACTGTAGCACATATACTATCACTCACTTAAAGTTATAATTCTTATTACCAAAATATCAGGTAATCATGGATCAGAAAAATGATTGTGATATATAGGATTCAATGAATTTTCACAACAATATGAAAAATATGTGTAGGATATGCATTTCAAATTATATTTCACTAGAGAGAATGACTTACAAGGAAAGGATCATACTTGTCTGTACTAGTTAACTCGAATGGCATGAGCACCGTGAATCAGTACATCAAGGAGCAGTCATATAACAATGTACAACTCTAAACAGATACTAAGGGAGATAAGGGAAGTGTTGCTTTTGATAGCTATATTGAAAGTCACGTACACTAATTTTTTTTCTTGAACTACGCAGGAGAGCTGTGTCATTTCATTAAATAGGAGAAACACACAAAACAAAACAAAGGCAAGGCAAGGCAGAAGATCCCCACCTGAACTCACACCCCAAACACCAAACAAAAAAAATAAACAAAAGGAAGAAAACATACACCCAGCTAGGGGACTAAAAAAGGCCCGCATGACATCCCGAGTCTATGACTCAAGGGGAAACAACCTAGAGAGAAGGTCCTAGAGCTTGGACGCTCCGCCAAACACCAAAGGCTACATTCATCTTCCACTGTCTGTAGGAGGCCTTGAATACTAGGAAGAGCTCCTTTAAACACACATGCATTTCTAAAAATTTACACCTTCAAATAACACAATAAGCTGCGAAGAAAGAGGTAATTTGAAGTACTGTTATTTGATCTATCACTTAATTACATATAAAAAATCATACAATTGGGGATGCAGTAAAAGTGGCTCAATTGACTGATGAAGAATTGAAGACTGGTGTAAGATTGTGACATATGACTTCCAGTTTCTATAATGATATGAATTTTCCTATTTAAGTGGCATAATCTCAAGTAAAGCATAGACAAAGGCATTCTAGTCCCAAAGAATAAAATGCATTCATAAGATTTAATCAGCTGCCAAAGGCAACACATCAACAGCACAACGCTATGTTAACCAATACCACTGGAAGTTCAAGTGGTGAGATCAGGCAGATGATGAACGTGAATGGAGTAATTACTTAATACAGATCAATACGACAACATTGGACTTGGACAAAGTGGCGCTGATCTTTTTCAGATAGAGGGCACGTTTGGTTCACAGCCACACATTTGGTGGCGAGTGTGGCGGCGCCTAAGCAGTGGTGGTTGAAATCGGCGCCGCAGCTGTGGCGTATTTTTCAACTGGGAAAGACTGTGGCTGCCACGTCCAAATGCTGAACCAAGCAGCAGCCTTCTGCTGGTGGCGAGCCGCACTTGAGGCTAGCAGGCTGTGGCGGGGAAGCAAACACCTCAAGAATTATGGTACCGCTATGCCACACAAAAATAGAGGTTGATCTGATGGCATTACATGAAGAAAAGAACATCTAGTAATCTAACTAAACATTGCTTGATTCAGATGCTAATGGTTCTTTTCTTTCTGAAGCACGAGCTGTTGACAAAATGCTACTTCCGAGACATTTCAATAAAGCTCAGAATGTTAAGTTACCACTAGATCCAGGGTTGGATAGTACTAATTATCTGACTGAGAAACAAGATGAAAGAAGTCAAGAAAACTGAAGAAGATGGAGCATATAGCAATTGCTTTATCCCTTGATGCCCTACAATCATGGGAACTAGACAGATCAGATACCAATATAGTCTAAAGCCAACAACAACAGTTGTTACAGCCTAGGCTAAGGCTGAAAAGGCTATCTTCTGTATATATACTTCGAGAGGGGGAAACTAACACTCCTGGCAACCTGTAAATAATAGATTAAGAAATCACAAAATGATCATGATACAGCCACAGTGTCTTACAGATGAATGTTACCAGGTGCTCACCTTGAGTGCTAAATCTTCATCAATGTTAGATCGATATCTAGCTGAGCCTTCTAGCGGGCAGCTCCGGCTTTTGGAGAGGAAATTAGAATTGCAAAGTGTTGAAAGTTGCAAAAGAACATCTGGCATCAAACCAGTCATTCCACTTCCATTCATCATACTATCAGGACATTCAACATCACCGAGATAATCTTCTGACACTGACGTGATGCACTGAAATATAGCCAAGAGCCTCTCAAGAGGAAATGTGCCAGGGCCTTTCAAAAGCATCTCTTCAGCCATGGTGTCCTTCATATTCATCGACGCCTGAGAGCTCCTACATCAAAGAACAATGATGTAAGCATCAAAAAAAATGATTAGACTGTTGGCAAGTCAAGAGATGGCATTAGGTGGCATACTTTCTCTTACGCCTATGGTTATCTGACCCTCCAGTTGAATCGAACAAAGCTGCATCAAGAGTAGCCGGGTTCCTTGAAGCCAGGAAAGCTGACAATAGTAAGTATTTCGCTGACACAGACATGTGGAACTCCAATTCAGTCGGCAAACCATCCCTACTGCCAAACTGACTTTTACTCCTAGCCTTCCCACCAGAACTGCGGTCCTTGCATTCATCCACAGAAGTCCTTGTGGGAACACTGAATGTCTCGTTCAAGGCAACAGCCAAATGTGGCTGTATATGTTCAAACAACCTCCTTTTGATGCTCTCATCCGGAACTGCCTTCAAATCCCCCAATGGCTCGCAGTACCTCCTGAAAAGTGGCTCCAGTGCAGCTACCAGTTCATCTACCCTCCTTGTTACTCGGAACAATGGCTTCAGCGCCACACTGCCAAACAAGAAGAGGAATGAAAAAGAAGAAATAGCACGATTGAGTAATCACAGTCCAACGATGCTCCCAAGGCACTAGCATACCCATGTCAAATATACTGCTTGGTATTTGGTTCGACCCATACCCAGGATCAAATTAGCACAAAAGCCAGAATCACTGATGAATGCCTTACCTAAGGAACGATGAGTACAGCTTCGGTTTGGGATGGACTCGCATCAGGATGTCTCGGACCTCGTCCACTGTGTAATCAGGGAAGTAAATGTGATTCGGCTCGATAGAGCCAGTCATGGAGTAGTACGCGTCAGGTGTAGCGCTGCTCACGTAGACGAGCACGACCTGCGGAAACCGGAGGAGATCGTAGAGGTGGAGAAGGAGAGCCAGAAGTTGGCCGCCCTTGTCCCAGCTCCTAACAACCTCCAAATTATCGAACACCAGATACACGGCCTCGCCCTGCGCGGAGAGGCCAGCAAGCGCGTCGCGGAGCGCGGCGACGAAGTCCGAGGGCTTGTCGGGGATGCGCAGGCGAGAGGAGGCGGAGGACGACGAAGGCGGGCTGAGCTGGGTGAGGAGGGAGGCGAATAGGGCGCGAGGGGACGGGAGGGAGCGCAGGGCGGCGTAGGCGACGCGCAGCGGGCGGGGGCGCACGTGGCGGAGAGCGAGGAGGAGCGCGCGCGTCTTCCCCGTGGCGGCGCCCCCGTGGAGCAGAAGCGGGAGCGCCGGCGCGGGCGCCAGGAGCCGGAGGAGGTCCGTCGCCTGCGCGCGGCGGCCGGGCAACGCCTCGAGGAGCACGTCGACGGTGCTCCGCTCGTGCTCCCCTTCCTCCTCCTTCGCGGCGGCGGTGGGGACTGGTTGGCGCCTGGGCGTCGATTTGGGCCTGGATCCGGACGGGGAGGTCGGGGAGGCCGGATAGGCCGCGGAGGAGCGGGTGGCGCGGCGCGGGGTGACGGGCTGCGACATCGCGGAGGTGTCGGCGGTGGTCGGCGTCGGCGAGGATGCCGTCGGAACCCTAGGCGGCAGGAGGCGGGGACCGGGTGGGACTCGGGAGGGGATCAGGGAATGGCGAGCCGCGGGCGGGACTTTGCGGAAATTTTGGGCGCGCGCCGCGGCGTGGGCGGGCGGGAAGATGACGCACGGTTGGGCCGTTGTTGATTGGCCTTTGTTAGGCCAGTTCCGTTCCGAACAGAAATGGATCCACGGGCGGTCAACTCGGTAAACGGGTGAAGTCCAGAAAGCTCATGGGATACACGGGCAGTGGCGAGCTGGGCTTGGGAAACGGTTGGCCCCAATCGAGAAGAGCAGTTTCCCTCTGAGAAATGAATGAAGTAGGGCCTTTCTGACCATACCAAGCCCAAACATAAAACCGTTCGGCTGATGGTTTCTGCGGTTGATAAGCCGGCTAAAGCTAATTTATTGTGAGAGAAAAATATTATACTATGCCTGATAAGCAGGGCTGATAAGCTATAGAGGTCCACATACCAGAGTTCTCATATATGGATTTCTCCTGATCTTGAGAGTGGTTTGCACAAAATGAATGTTGACGCGGCTTTTGCATTTGTTGAAGATTATGGGATTCGTAATCATAAAAGTGGCTTCAGACTACTTAAATGTTTATATCAATAATATTTGAGAGATGCCCTTCCATGATTATCCACAGAACAACATGTTTTTTATTTGAGCATTCTGTGCACAAGGGTACAGATTCAAATAAGGAGGCTCGCTCATGTGTTGGGAAAAAGTAGCTTGTGGACTCTAGAAGATGGCCTCATGTATTTGCTCTTGATGGCTTCTCTCCTACTTATAGATGTAAACATGGATGTTAATGATAAAATGAAGCTCTAGTTTCCTCTCTTTCAAGAGAGAGAGTGAGAGAGAGAGAGAGCACTTCCTCTGTGTAATAATGTAAATCATGTTTTATTTCGTTAGGAGTTAGGACAAAACTTTAACATACCATTAGTATATAATAACCTTGTGATACAAAATTGGTGGCATTAGAATCATAATAAAAATGTAATGCAACCGTGCTATATACCTGTCTAAAGCAACCGTCGCCACTTTCAAATAAAAAGGAGGGGGGGGGTAGCGGTCACCGTCCTTGCTATGTCACGTCTCCGGTGTACTCTCCCTATAATAATGAGAAAAATATATTCAGCGTGTTCGGATGGTCCGGTGAACAGTAAATTTCGAATGGTTTTGGATGGATAGATAGTGTTCTGTGAGGAAGAATAAACTGAAACAAGCTGGAACATGACTAGCCGAACAGGGTGATTATGTATGGGTGCACGAATAAAAAGATATTTTGCACATGGACACGATGATGAAAGTACGATTTTTGCTACTATTTTTTAGGGTTGTATAAGATTATTTTACTAGACAAATTTGCTCATATCGTTTTCAAGGTCCACACGCATGATAAGTATTCCATCTGTCCTAAAATAAGTGTACTTCTAGAATTATAGTGAAAATATTAATGCTAGTGAGAAATTACGTATATACCTCTATAAAGATGTAATCGTTGCGCTTTAGGAAGAGAGAAAATAAAAAAAGACAACTAGAGTTGGTTTGTCTCATATGTAGATATGCTCTTATTTTAGGGAAAAAAATTGAACTATAGAAACGCACTTATTATTATGGGACGGAGGGTGTAATCCATAAACTTCGAAGTTGTGGACAGCTGGTTCCGTCGGTTATTGTATCGAAAAAAATGCTGAAACAGAGTACTAGAAGAGATATATTCCTTCCGTATCAAATTATAAGTCTGCTTTGATTTTTTGATTCATATATTTTACTATGTATCTAGACATATTATTATATCTAGATGCATAACAAAATAGACGTACCAAAAAAATCAAAGCGATTTATAATTTGGAACGGAGGGAGTAGGATATTGGCCTCGGTCATGATAGATGTTTTGAAGGAAGAACCGTGTCTGTTGATCTAACCTGATTTTATTCTCAACTTTGAAACATCTTGTTGATCTAAGGAGATTTTACATATCAGTTTTGAAACCTTCCAAAAGGTGGGCGTGAAATTGTGAATAGTATTAAGGGCATGTTGAGATACACATGGCTAGTTACTAGCCTAAATTAGCTAGCTAGCTAGTTGGCTAACAACTAGTTGAATTTTTATTAAAAAAATTAACGCGGGGAGACCACGGAACCTTTCCCCATCGCGACTAAAACCCTAGCATTGACGGCCACCGCTCCGCCATCTCGTGCCCCCTCCCCTCCCTCCACTGCGCCCTCAGCCCCCTCCCCTCCTCTCCCGCGTGTGGAACCGTTGCCCGGCCGCGGCTCAGCCTGCCTGCCTCATCCGGCGGTTGCTTCACGTCCACTACGCTGGCCGTAGGATATGGATCCACCCCCGCCTCACCGACGGCAGGCCACGTCGTCGCATCCTCGTCTAGCTGTGGAGCCACACTCGCCTCGCCAACAATGCCTCGCACCGCGCGTGCCGCCCTATGCCGCCGGCACCCCTCCGCCCACTCCGTCGCCGGGGGCTGATGCCACCGCCGCGGCCGCCCCTCCGCCGTAGGGGACGGTTGCTGGTGTCGCAGACACCCTACAGTTGGGCGTGGGGGCTGGATCTAGGGCCCCATGGCCGCCTAACCCATGTGCGGAAGCCAGCGATAGGGAGCAACCGCCGCCACCCGCAGCGGGCTACCTAGAGGTCAATTCGGCGCGGCTAGCTGCCATGGATGGCTCCGCTTCGAGCTCGTCCGCACCTCCCCTGCGGGATGCGGTGAAAGTGCATTTGCCCCCTATGTGGGTTTTGGTGTATTGATGACATCCAAATTAGAGGCTAATGAGATCTTAATGAGATATATTGCAACTTTAGTCCCATGAAAGTTTTAAAGAGTTGATCTAAGATGAAATGGTATCCCTCAATTCTTGAAGTTGAAAAGGCGGACGAACTCAAAGTGCTCTCCAAAGTTTTATCCTTATTTTGAGTTTAAGTTTCGCCGTACTATAAAGAGGGATGCAAGTTTAGGTTTAGGTGGTCTGAGGAAGATAGAGTGCCCAAGCATAAAAAAATCAAAAGAGAGACAAAATCACCTCATGAACACCTAGATATAGTTTGTGGACTTTTGGTTGCCGGAAGTCCCGACGCGAGTCGGAAGTCATAGCAGTCAGAAGTCCCAACTCCTGTCAGAAGTCCTGGTGCTCTTGGACTTAGCCGCTAGGCTCGGCTATTTGCCGGAAGTCCCCGCGCGAGCCGGAAGTCCCTGTAGTCGGAAGTCCCGGCACCTTTGGACTTAGCCGCCTGGCTCACTTGTGTGTCGGAAGTCTTGGTAGTCACCGGGAGTTCCGGCGATGACCGAGCTAGCCCAGTTGACTACGCCATGAATAGTGTTCTATAGTAGAGCCGGAAGTCCCGGCGATCTGTGTCAGAACTTCCGACGTAGATCTAAACCGTTGGTTTTGCCTATGAGTATAAATAACTCTCTCCTCTCTTTTAACCGCCACCCACTCATTCATTGCTCACCAACCTTCATCCAAAATAGCTCCCAAGTATTTAAGGTGTCCTCCTCCTCTCCCCTTTGCTCCAATCTTTGATTCTCCTAGGGTTTTGAGTGAAAGGAGAGTGGTTTGAGTGAGAGAATCACTTTGACAAGTTTGAGCACTTGATTTCTTCGTCAAGCCGGTTGGATTTGTGTCTATTACTCTTGGAGCTTTGCTCCTAGCCGGCTAGGCGTCGTCCAAGAGCTTTCATCTTGTGGAAGAGCCTTGGAAAGTTTGTATTACCCTTGATTTCTTAGTGGAAAACTCAAGTGACCTTTGTAGTTTCCTTGAGAGAGGCAAAGAGGTGAAAAAGGCTCCGACCTTTGTCTCAACAATGAGGACGTAGGAGCTCCTTTGTGGGGTTGCCTAACCTCGGAATAAATCCTTGTGTCCCGCGCGCTTGTTGTTGTTGGAATTTATGCTATCAATTTGTTCTTGTTGGTTTCTCTTTCTCCCCAAAGTTTCTCTTAGGATTTGGACTCGATCTACGGAATGGTGACCTTTCGGCGTCAAAGGAGCAACCCCAACGCTTCACCTTACCACTAGAAAGTGGGGTTATAAGATATCTCGCACTCAAAGTTCATTTTAGCACTTGTAGCGATTTTCACGTAGGTGCCGGAACTCCCGGCTGTTTGCGTCGGAACTTCCAACTGTCGGAAGTTTTGGCCCAAACTGTCAGGACTTCCGACTGTTGCTGACATTTGACTTTGAGATTACGCAGAAATTTTTAGATACGCCTATTCACCCCCTCTAGGTATTGTTTAGATCCTTTCATGCGGTGATGAGGAGCGTGACATATGGCCACCGCCGCCACCGCCCACGTCTTCGTGCCGCGTCTAGGAGGCTGTCTCCGCTGCCGGGCCCCCCAGCTCGCCCACCCTCTCTTCGGACGCGGCTCCATTCTACCCAGGGGCACCGCAGGAGGGAGCATGAAGCACCACCGGTGGGCAGGCACCGATGGCGAGGAATCCGACGATGACCACCCCCAACTACCTAGACACCGCTCGTCGCTCGGCAAAGCCGATAGCTGTGTCCCCGCCGCGCACCCAGACTCGTTCAATCGTGTTCCTAGGTCATGGTGAAGCGGATGCGGGCCGATAGGGTCTTGGGCGAAGAAGGGGGGAAGGGCAACCAGGCATGACCATAGCCGGTGCACGGCCTACCTGCTCGGCCAGTGGATGGCCGCATCCCTGCCCGCCAGCGCCTCGGCCACCGTGGACGGGCCTCTACCCCCAACATCGATGGGTGGCGAGAGATCCCCCCTTGGTAGGAGGTGCGACCTGCGGGCGCCTCAGCTGAGCCTCACCGCGACACAAAGCAACCTCTACAAACCTAGAAGGTACCCGTGGAGCTTCACGACAAATGCTTCAACTACCTTTCCTACTCGCACCGGGTAGCGACTTGCCGGCTGCCACGGCGTTGCCTGCACTGCCACGGCTTCCGCAACCTCGCCAGGGA